AATTTTTTAGAAAATAGTGTCAAATTGTTTCCCTATCGAATTAATAATTGTCTCTAATTTTTACAATAAAAATCTATTTTCGCTATTAATTTCGGTTTCGACTGTCATACAGTATAATTGTCAAGATCGTTAAGAATTTAATTTCCAGTTTACCCGGAAATTTTTCGTCATTAGTCGCGACCCTTTAGTTGGAGTTAATTTACCAGAAAGTGTAACTTAACACTAAAAAGAACGATAATTATTCTCGCCTACGTGAAAGTTGTCGTCGTCGTGTCTAACATTGTTGGAAAATGTAACCCGCATGTAATAAGGAAGGAAACGTGCTCCTTCTATGGTCAATGAAGTCTAAAGGAATCTGGTTATATATATTGGCACATGTGAGACGAAAACGCCCGCAAGTGTTGCTTCAAAGAAACTTCAATGCATATTATATATATACATATACATTTTTCTCATATAAAAATGAAATCGTAAATTATATGCTTTAGAAAAGCATTTCAAAATTTCTTTTTTTTACACACGTAAGAGGATCTGATAGTTTGAAAACTTTGATTTACACGCATTAATATTATAACTCTGATCAAAAGTTCTTCGACCGGACTTTCACCCCTTTGCTTTATTCATTATTGCTATTATACTTCTTTAGTCGTAATTGAACTATTATGGCATAGTAAATTTTACAATTGACAGATTCATTATTAATACAATTCACACCAAAGATTCTCTATAAGAAAATTTACAACTACAATAATAATCAATGTGGAACGTCAATACAATTATTAAAATTCTCACCCATTCTTTTCAAAGCAAGATCGAACATTTTTTATTGGCACGATAATTAATTTGAAACTAATTTATATATATTGAAAATAAAAATATGACAATTATTGAATTCCTTCAAAGAATTTTATTACTTATGAAAATAATTGAATTCTTGATTTCTACGAAGAATTTTTTAATAAAATATTTTGGAAAAAAATTGAATTCTTACGAAGAATTTGAAAATAATTATTAAATTTTAATATATAAATTATATCAACATTTTTTGAAATAATTGAATTCTTTTGAAGAATTTATATAAAATTTTTATGAATAATTGCATTACTCGAGGAATTCATTTGAAATTAAAAATAATTATAAAAAACATTAAGAAAAAAAATATTAAAAATAATTGAAAGTCTGCGATGAGTTTTAGTGAGTAAATTTTTGCAAAAAAATGTACAAGATTTTTTGAAAATAATTAAATTCTTAATAAGAATTTCTTTAAAATTTTTTCAAAAAATTTGTTTTGAAGAATTTTTTTTGAAAATAAATAAATTCTTTTAAAGAATTCAATTAAAATTGTATTGAAGATAATTGAATTCTTATAAAGAATATTATCAAAATAATTCAATACTTTCGAGAAATTTTATTAAAACTGAATGGAAAATAATTGAATTCCTGACAAAAAATTTGATATTTTGTGAAAATTATTAAATTCTTTTAAGGAATTCAACTAAAATTGTATTGAAGAAAATTGAATTCTTATAAAGAATTTTATCAAAATAATGGAAATCTTTCCAGAAATTTTATTAAAATTGAATTGAAAATAATTGAATTCCTGAAAAAAAATGTGATATTTTTGAAAATTATTAAATTTTTGCGAAGAAATTTATTAAATGCTTTAAAAATAATTGAATTTCTGAGAAGAATTTCATTATTTATCAAAATTATTGAATTTGAGAAGATTTTATTCAATTTTTTGAAAATAATAATTGATTTCTTTAGAAGAATTTTATTATTTATGAAAATAATTGAATTCTTGGAAAGAATTTTACAAGAAATTTTTAAAATAATTGAATTCTGTACAAGAATTTTATTTAAATTTTTTAATAATGTTTTTACGACTCATACGAAAATAATTGAATTCTTGACAAGAATCTCATAAAAAAAAATCCAGATGGATTTTGTTAAAACTTTCTTTTACTTTAACAGTTTTCGCTTGCAAGTGTTTCAAATCAACTTTGATTGAAACGGAAACAAAAAGAAGAAAAAAAATTCGCGACTTAACAAGAAAAATTTGGTACGGTGACTAAAAATATTTTCAATAAAATGTTTATGTCCCATTTCATGACAAAAAAAGAATTTTTCTTTTATATTTAATGCACTTCTTTGTTTGAAATGGTCTATTTCTAAACCAATTAATAATCGTTCAGAAAAGAGAAAAGCTCAGTAATAAAAATAGAAAAAAATACAAACAGACTAAATATTAATGAACGACAGTAGGTATTAATGGATTAAATATTTGTCGTATCGAACTTTTTTTTTAAATAGTTTACAAGTTCTGAATAAAGGAAGAAATTATGTGTTAAAAAAAAGATTTTACATCCTATTTGCAGGCTTTTCGTGTTTACTTAATATTTGAGAAGCTAATAACCAGTGACAGACTGACAGCAACTTGACACGTAAATCAAACAAAAAAATCGTGTTTTTAATTTCGGAATTAAAATTGCAAGTATTTGACTCATCATTCAAATATTGTATATTTTGCATAATAATTTTGCTGATTTTCTTTATTATTAGTATTAATAAAATTATTGTTAATATTGCTATTTTTAATACTGTTTTTTCACTTCTCATTATTCTTATTATTATTTCTACTTTTATAATTAATTCAAATAATTTAATTTTTTATATTTAAATATCAACTTCAATTTTTAATTAATTTTGATATCTAATTTAATTATTTTCATCAATTTTAATAAAATTCTCTACAAAAATTTAATTATTATCAAAAATTTTGATAAAATTTGTTTATAATAATTCAATTATTTTCAGTAGCATTTTAATTTAATTCCTCGATAGAATTTAATTGCTTTCAAAAATTCTAAAATAATTCTTCGCAAGAATAAAACTATTTTGAAAGTTTTTAATAAAATTCTTTCAAAATATTCAATTATTTTGAAAAATTCTAATAAAATTCTTCTAAAGAATTCAATTACTTTGAAAAACTTTAATAAAATTCTTCTAAACAATTCAATTAGTTCTAATACAATTACAATTAAATTTTTCGCAAAAATTTAATTATTTTCAATACAATTTTCATAAAATTGTTTACAAAAATTTAATTATCATCAAAAAATTTGATAAAATTTTTTAAAATAATTTAATTAATTTCAGTAGGATTTTAATTTAATTGCTCGATAGAATTTAATTGTTTCCAAAAATTCTAATATAATTCTTCGCAAGAATAAAATTATTTTGAAAGTTTTTAATAAAATTCTTTCAAAATATTCAATTATTTTGAAAAATTCTAATAAAATTCTTCTAAAGAATTCAATTACTTTGAAAAATTCTTATAAACAATTGAATTAGTTCTAATACAATTACAATTAAATTTTTCGCAAAAATTTAATTATTTTCAATACAATTTTAATAAAATTGTTTATAATAATTCAATTATTTTCAGTAGCACTTTAATTTAATTCCTCGATAGAATTTAATTGTTTTCAAAAATTTTAATATAATTCTTCGCAAGAATAAAATTATTTTGAAAGTTTTTAATAAAATTCTTTCAAAATATTCAATTATTTTGAAAAATTTTCCTAAAGAATTCAATTAGTTTCAACAATAATTGGAATTAAATTTTCGAAAGAATTTAATTTTATATATAAATTTTCATAAAATTGTTCGCAAAAATTCAATTAATTTACAGAATTTTAATCAAATTTATTTATAAAAATTAAATTATTTTTCAATGAATTTTAATTGAATTTGAAGAAAGAATTTGATTGTTTTCCAAAATTTAAATAAAATTCTATAATTTAAATTATTTGAGATTCAAAATTATAAAAGGTACAAGAACTCCAACAGTTTTTAACAATAATAAAATAAAATTCACTTATCAACGTAAAAATGGTGTAAAATATAATAATTTCTAAATTTTTCATTCAAAAATAATATATCTCAGAACTTGTTGTTAACGTTAAATTGAATTTACTAATTAAATTATCATTCCTAATTCTACAGAATGTTATTTAATTAATTTTTGTTATTTAATTTTCAAAACACTAAATTAATTGAAATTTTATGAATTTAAAAATTCGACATTAAAAGAAAAAATTATTAAAAAATAAGGAATTTATTATTATTACAATTTTGTTACTGCACTTTGGCAATAAATGCAAACTAGATTAAATTCATTCATTGTTGGAAGACCATATAGAGATTAATTTCCTAAAAAATTGAAATGACTATTGGATATTAATTTCATGCCAATACAGAATGATTAATCCTCTAATTATGTTCGATTAGAATTGAGAATAATACTGAGAATATAAATACTTCGTAAATTTACATTAAATTATGTATATAATAATATATGAATACTTGAAAATCCGTGTAAGAATAATGCCAGTTCTATCAGAAATTGATAACTATTCTTTTTTTTAAATTTTTCATGCACCAACTTCCACGAAATTAGATATGAAAATTAATTACTCAGTGTGTAAATGTAAACACTGTTCATTGTGAGGCACCAAAACAAATATGGAAAGTATACATGCAGATTGCACAACGTGCATCTGTCAAAGTGACATTTTACGACTTCAACCTACAAATTATTTCCAACTATATATGTATACATTTATATACAATTTATGATTTAAAAAATCAGAATTTCGAAAAAAATCCTTAGTATTAAATAAATTATTATTTTACTTTCCTTTTAAAGTGTAAAGAAAAATATTTTTATTAAAAATTCTATAAGTAAATTGCAGGCGAAAAAATGTAAATGTCAGAGAATTTATAGATTTATTATTTAATAATAATATGGAGAATAAAAATAAAACGCTGTTACGTTTGTGCGGTATATAATCGATTTGCCCCATTCTACCTTCTGATAGTAAAAACACACGCGCCAAAATGTTATGTAAACGAATAAGTTGGCTTAGAATAAAATGTTGTTTTTTTCCTATTGATAATTGTTATTATTATTTTTTTTTTTTTGCTTATTTACTCACCGATAATAAGACAAAAGAAGTCGAGAATAATTTTTCTCAACATAATCCTTGATGTTCGATCCATAATGGTGGGGAAATAGGTGAATCTTCTTCTTGAACGTAATTTTCTTCTGAAGAGGGTTAAGAAAATCCTGATGAATGTATAAAATGTACGTAGTGCAGTTGACAGCGCGACGATATATAAATATTATGAGGAATTGAAAGTCGACACAGAACAAGAACCATCGCCTTGAAAGGCTCACCATCGACTGGATACTCAGCTGCTTTAGAAAATCCAAAGCCGGCACTCACTGTGAAACCATCTCCATCCCTCCATGACGCGTTTCGTTTTGCGCAAGTGGCACAAGTGTAATTGTCTCTCAACGCATGAGCAAATGATTTTTCCATTTTCTTCTTAAAAAAAAATGAATAATCCTTTCCACAATTAACGCCGACAACATTTCTTTTCCTCTTTTCAAAAATCTGCAAAAATAAACAAACACTGTTAATATAAATGTAAATTTATTTCTTATTCAATATTTTTTAATCGAAAAAATTTCAAAAATTTTCTTTTGCTTATTTTGCAAAAAAAAAATAATTCTCTATTTTTTAGTCAAATTTAGAAAAAAAAAAAATACAATTTTAATTCCTTCAAAAAATTCAATTATTTTCAAAAATTCAGAGAAAATTCGTCAAAACAATTCAAATATTTTTATGAACTGTAAAATCATCCGCAAGAATTCAATTATTTTTATAAATAAGAAAATTCTTCGGAGGAATTAAAATATTTTCATAAATAATAAAATTCTTCAAAGGAATTCAATTATTTTTATAAATAATCAAATGTTTTGAAGGAATTCAATTATTTTCAAGAGTTTTAATAAAAATTCAATTATTTTCAACAATTCTGATAAAATTCTTCGAAACAATTCAATTATTTTTATAAATTGTAAAATTCTTGTCAAGAATTCAATTATTTTTGTAAATAATAAAATTCTTCTGAGAATTTCAATTATTTTCAATACAATTTTAATAAAATTCCTTCAAAAAATTCAGAGAAAATTCAGAGAAACAATTCAATTATTTTAATGAATTGTAAAATCCTCCACAAAAATTCAGTTATTTTTATCATAAAGAAAATTCTTCTCAGGAATTAAAATATTTTCATAAATAATAAAATTCTTCAAAGGAATTCAATTATTTTCATAAATAATAAAATGTTTTGAAGGAATTCAATTATTTTCAAGAGTTTTAATAAAAATTCAATTATTTTCAACAATTCTTATAAAATTCTTCGAAACAATTCAATTATTTTTATAAATTGTAAAATTCTTGTCAAGAAATCCATTATTTTTGTAAATAATAAAATTCTTCTGAGAATTTCAATTATTTTCATTACAATTTTAATAAAATTTCTAGGAAAAAATTCAATTCCATTCAAGATAATTTGAATAAAATTTCTCTAACAGGTTAAGTTATTTTTAAAAATTGTAATACAATTTTTTTTAACAATTCAATTATTCTCAAAATTTTTTAATAAAATTCTTTGTAAATTTCAATTATTTTGAAAATTTTTAATTAAAATTACTTGAAAATATTACATTATTTTTACGAAATTTAATGATATTCTTAAAAAGAATTTAATTTTCAATTTTTTAAATAAATTCATTACAAGAATTCAATTATTATTTCAGTACATCGACAATTTAATTATTTCTGGAAATAATTGAATTCTTGCGAATAGAATTTTATTAAAACTTTTTTAAATAATTATTGAATCCCTGCAAAAAAATTTATTATTTCTACAACTAATTGAATTTTTGATTATTGATATTATTGAATTCTTTCGAAAAATTAAAAAAAAATGTTTAAAAAATAATTGAATTCCAGCAAAAATTAAATTATTTCTGGAAATAATTGAATTCTTGAATTGAATGTTATTAAAAGTTTTTTAAATAATTGAACTTCTGTGAAAAATTTAATTATTTTTTAAAATAATTGAAATTTTTCGGAGAATTTTTACAAGATTTTAAAAAATAATTGTAATTTTCGAAGAAATCAATTAAAATTGTATTGAAAATAAGTAAAATCCTGATAAGAATTTTATTATTTATAAAAAAAATAATTGTATTTTTTACGAAGATTTTTATTATTTATAAATCGACTTTTTGCAAAGAATTTTATTACAATTATTGAAAATAATTGAATTCTTAATAAAATTCAATTACTTTCAAAATTTTCAGTAAAAATTATTTTAAAAAACTCCATTATTTTCAAGAAAATTTATATATATCTAAATAAATAAATAAATAAAATTGAAATAAATTCTTCAAAACAATTTAATTATTTCAGAGAATTTTAATAAAAATTTTGCAAGAATTGAATTATTTTCAATACAATTTGAATTATATTTTCTCGAAAGAATTCAATTATTGAAAAAAATGTTGATAAAATTCTTGAAGTGAATTTAATTATTTTCAAATTTTTTGATAAATAGGTACTTTACAAGAATTAATTCAATGATTTTCAGTACATTAATTTCAAAATTGAAAACATTTAAAAAGAAAAATTATTTCTAAAGTCAGGAAACAAAAAGCAATTTTCTTCTTTCTTTCTACTTCCCCTATTAAAAAACCCCTATTTTTCCAATTAGTAAAAATGAAACGCTTTTAATGGAAAATTTATTCGACTCGGAAATTTTGATTTTATTTCCCGTGGGATAATTCGAAAAAATAAACCATAAATTCTAGAATATTGAGAAACTTGGCAATTTTTCTAGGCCATAAGAGGGAAGCTAATTTTTCCCCTGTCGAAATTCCGAAATCCCCAAAGGGAGGGGAAGAAAAAAAAAAGATGAAAGGAAACCGTGGCAGCAAACACAAACCAAAGGGAGAAAACATTTCTTCTTTCTAACAAAGAATGCCCGTTAAACTCATGCTGGTTTAGTTGACAATCCATTGTCGATGAACGATAGATCGCTCGTGGCATGAATTATCTACAAACTTTACGTCTATTGCACTTTATCTTACATCCCACAACGCAGAATGAATTCTAATAATATATATCGAGACTTTATTTTTATAATTTTTTCCCCATTAATTCAGTTTCATTTCAATTTCTCCTCTAGTTTTGCAATTTTTTTTTCAATAGCAATTTATATAATTTAGCAATAATTGTTTGTCAATATAGAAATTCTGTTCTTTTGTCTTTAGAAAAAAAAAATTGTCTTTTTCTAAACTGAAAATTTCATGGATTATTTTTAATAATTTAGAAAATTAAATACAGGAGGTAAATTAATACAACCAAAAGCAAAATCCAATTTCAAATATTATTAAATTTTTTCTGAAACTTATATTCAAATTATTGAGAATCGAACGATTTCCTTTTGTATATAATAGAGGAAGTACTGTGATTTTTTTTTCGGATCATAAAAGCAATTTCAGGGATCATTGCTCGTGAGTAAATTACCTCTGGGAAGATATTGAAAAAATAATAATAGTATTGAACCCCTAATGGCTTGATTGCAAACATATAGTGAATAATTATGAATCGTCTTCAATAGATAGAGTATACAAAAATATGTCAAGAGATCTGGAAAAAAAATGTTATTATCAATAGTTGTCAAGGTGAACATTATAAATTGTTACATTATTTTATCAGTACTACTTTCGCTTTAAAATGTCAGTGGGACTTTAATATATCCATTGCCATTATTGTAAAACGTATTCGAATTTTCGCAAAAATAAAAAAACAGACTTCGTACTTGATAATTAATTTTTAAAAAATAGCAAAAAATCGCTATCGAAAAATTAAACATTGTGAGTCAATTTTTTCACAATTTCTAAATTAAGTTACGCTTCAAAAATGGAATAATTTTTTTTAAAATAAATATTTAAATATGAACCTATTTTTTCACAGGAATTAAAATATTTTAAATGACTTCAATGTAGAGTCTTTTTGAAATTTAAATATTTCTAAAAATTATACAATCAAAATTCAATCATTTTTTAAATGAAATTTTTAAATAAAATTATTCAAAACTATAATCATCTTATTTCAAAATAAAAATTTTAATATTTTTACAGTTTTACGAGAATTAAAATTTTCAAAGATTTCAATTAAAAAATCTTTTGAAATTTAATTATTTCTAAAAATTAGCACTATAACGCTTCTAATATTCAATTATTATCAATAATTTTAACTGAAATTCAATTTTTTAATCAATTTTTATTAAAAAGTTCTACGAGAATTCAATTATTTATTTAATTATACAAAAATAAATAATTTATTGAATAATTGAATTATTTCTCAAAAATGAATTCTTACAAAGAACTTTAGCAAATTTTTTAAAAATAATTGAATTCTTTCAAAAAATATGAATAAATGAAAAATTTTTAAAAATGATTGCATTTCTCGAAGAATTCATTTAAAATTAAATTAATTAAATAATTGAATTCCTGTGAAAATTTTATTATTTATAAAAATAGTAGATAAAAATAAAAAAGAAATAAAATTTATAAAAATACAAATTCAATTGTTTCGAAAAAAATTTAACTTTGTTCGAGGGATTTAAGTAATTAAAATTGTAATGAAAATAATTAAATTCTTTTTAATAGTTTACCACCATTTTTAAAAATAAGTGGATTCTATCAAAAAATTTTGTTAAATTTTTAAAAATAATTAAATTCCATCAAAAAAATTTATTCAAATTGTAGAAAAATTGTTGAAAATAATTGAATTTTTCCAACAATTTTTGTAAAACTTATGAAAATAATAGAATTCATGAGACGAATTTTATTAAAAACTTTTTTTTAAATAATTGAATTCTTTTGATAAATTTTATTGAAATAGTAAATATTGAAAATAATTGAATTTCGACAAATTTTCGAAATTAATTAAATTTCAACAAAGAATTTTATTAAAATTTTTTGAAAATAATTGAATTATTATGAAAAATTTAATTAAAATTTTTGAAAATAATTAAATTATTTCGAAAAATTTAATTAAAAATATGTTGAAAATAATGATTAAATTTTAATAAACAAATTATATCAAATTTTTTTTTTAAATAATTGAATTCTTTTGAAGAATTTATATATAAAATTTTTAGAAACAATTGCATTTTTCAAAAAATTCAGTTAAAATTGTATTAAAAATAATTTAAATGTGCGATGAGTTTTGTTAGTTATGAAAATGATTGGATTTTGGCAACGAATTTTATTATTAAATAATTGAAATCTAGTGAAAATTGTAATATTTATGAAAATAATTGACTGTTGGCAAAGAATTTTATAAAATTGTTTTTTAAATAATTGAATTCTTTTGGGGATTTTTTATTAAAATACTTGAAAAAAGCAAATAACATTTTTGTAAAATATATTTGAATTTTTAAAGAGAAAAAATAAAACGAAAGATAAATTCCCTCTCGATGAAAAAGCGAATAAAAATATAATAGCAAATAGTAAAAAAAATGTAGAAGGTGTAAATATAAAAAAAGAATTTTTCCTTACAGAAAAGCGAATAAAAAAATAATTTGTCCAAAAATCCAAATTATAAAAAATAGTCTACAAATCGATAAATAAATATTACTCAACCATTCTCTAAAGTGTTAAATTTTTAATTTAATATCAATATCTCCTCTACTTTGACAAACGATGACAAATGATATGAAGAATGAACGATGAAAGCAGGTAATAAAAAGTTATACCTTTTTTTTTCCTCCAATTTCGTCACGCCGCAGAATTTAATTGAGAGTCCCACGTCAAATAATCGGAGATCCAAGATGATGATTATTCGCAGCCATCAGATTAAAAAAAAATGTTTTGCGCGCATCAAGAAAAACAATGACCTGCAAAATGAAATGGTTCTTCCCAAAATGAAATTCAATTTCATCAACAAAAATTTCTTTCCAAAGCGCGCGGCAGTCGAAAGCAATATAGGGATCTGAAAAAGAATAAATGAATACAAATTAAATAATAAAAATAAAAGAAAAAAATCTCCTTTCGAAACAAGGGAGCGAGAGAAATTTTTAAAAAGAATTTTTTAATTAAACGTTACCCTTTTTCACTCTTCCTTTCAAATTAATTTCTTCAGTTTTGAAATGGTTAATTTCTCAACAAAAAGATCTCTGACAACCGACGAGTAAATTACCTCTCACAGTGAAACCTTTCTTTGGCTATAAATCCTGACAAAAATTAATCATAAGCAAAATTATAATAATTAGTAACAATTTGTTAAAAAAAAGTAGTAACAATATTAAAAAAAATTATTCCTAAAGTTCTGAACATTTAAATTATTAATTTCTTCTTCGAATTAAAATTTAATTATATCAAGTCACAAAGTAAAAAATAATTTATATTGTAAAATATTTAAATTTGTTTTTGATTTTATATTTCGAAGAGTAAATAACAAAAATATTTCGTAAATTTCGTTCAGAATTTTCGGAATATAAAAACTCATATTCTTCTAGTAGGTATGCAATATTTAAAAAAATTATTCAATAGATAAAAAAGAAAAAAATCTATACCTAAGTATTCTCAAGAAATAAACACTTCGAAACGTGTTTAAAAAATTATATAATAACAACCAAGATTTCTTACTTAATGAGACATAAGCGTAGACATGTTTTACAAATTTTCAAAACACAAGATTGATGAAAATCCAGCATAATTTATCCTGATAGCATAAACATGATCGATCACCTAAAAAAAATCAGCAGAATAATGTTAATGTCCGGTTCTGATAAAATCTGACGAAACCACCAACGGAAACTAATCATTAAAAACCGGTACGTGCTCTTTAGAGTGTTACAGGTTTACAACAACAAAAAAAAATAAAATGAAAATAAGTTTACAAAATAAAATTCTCCAAGTTCCATTAGAAAACAAAAATAATCGCACTTTTTTTCGCACTTAATAAACAATGGACAAAATAAACAATTTTCGGTGCAGAAGAAATAAAAGTAAGGAAAATTATTCGATAAATCGGTTACTAAAAATTTTCTTTGATATTTTTTCTATTTTTTTTCAGGGAAAAAAATATATTCATTTTCCTGTAAAAGTTTTAGTTATATTCAAATATTAATAAGAAAAAGTATAAAAGGAATAAAATTAAAAAATAAAAAGTGTAAAAATTGAAAAAAGTATGAAATACTTTTTATTCTTTTCTTACGTCGAGAAATATTAATTCCTTTTTTTTTGATAAAAGTGAAAATTGCTAGAAGCGAAAATTGATAAAGTATGAAAATTGATAAAAGTGTAAAATAAAAAAAAAATAATTGATACAAGATTCTAGGAGAAAATTTTTTTCTAATTGAATATTAAAACTTTGACAACTATTTAACTTCCGCGATCAATGACCTGCGCACGATTATGGAATAAAAATAAATAAATATCAACTTAATACTTGCACTCTACTACAATACATAACGAAACCTTGAGTTGAAGCGATTGCACCCCTTAGTAAACATTTGGGTCGCTCACCTCACTATCTGGCCAGCGAGCAATTAGTTATACAACATAATGATCAGTGGCCTTTATACACTTTAGTTTACAGATGCTGTCGGGAACAAATTTTCTCCTTGATTTTTCGCCTGAAGGCGATAAAAAACATTAATGAGAAAATTATCTCCTACAGGCATGCAAAAAAAATAAATTACTACAAGATTCTTCATTTCTTTTCAAAAGAAATTTTTGCTCTCACAATTTTCTCTCCCCGCAGAGTCAATTATTACGCACGATTTCTTTATTTTTATTCCATTCTATTTTTATCTAAGTGTATTAATTTTTTTCCCATCTAAAGTGAATTCGATTTGAATTTTTCAAATTTTTAGTTTTTGTTCTGGTTTTATTTATTTCTTTTTTATTTTAATTTGCTTTTCTAATCAGGGTTGCCAGAAAAATTTGATTTTATTTTTTTTACTGATTTCAAGATAGAAATTTTAATTGTAAAATTATTCGAAAACATCAACAGTTCCTTTAGATAAATATTGAATCATCATTATTATTATTCTTTCATAGAAATTAGGATTTAAAAAAAACTCCAAATTTCAAATACTTTGTTATTCAATAATATATAAGAATTACTATTGACTTTTTCAAAATTATTTCCAAGATTTTAATTCAATTATTTACTAGAATTTTCGACTAAAATTCTTCTCTTATTCAATTATTTTTAATGTTTTTAATAATTTTTTAAAAAGTTACTTAGGAATTCAATTATTTATTTCAAGAAAAAAAAGTTCACATAAATAAAAATTTTTCTATTTTAAAAGATAACATTTTAAAACAATTTTTATATTAATCGTTTTTTGGAATTTTTGAAACTTTTTGTAATTTTGAATTAGAAATATGTAATTAAATTTTTGCACAGAATTTTATTAAAATGTTAGAAAATAATTATTTATGAAGAATTTTTTGGACATTTTGTAAAAATTAATCAATTCTTTTATAAGGAATTCAATTAAAGTTGTATTGAAAATAATTAAATTATTTCGAGAAATTTTAGTAAAATTGAATTGAAAATAATTGAATTCCTTCTAAAAAATTTGTTATTTTTGCAAATTATTAAATTATTACGAAGAAATTTATTATTACTGTAAATTTTTGAATTTATGCAAAGAAATTTATTAATTATGACAATTAATGAATTTTGCGAAGAATTTTATTCAAATTTTTGAAAATAATTGAATTCTTTAGAAGAATTTTATTATTTATGTAAATAATTGAATTTTTTGAGGAGTTTTAGTAAAATTGAATTCCTACGAAGAATTTTATTAAAACTTTTGAAAATAATTGAATTTCTACGAAAAATAATGTTGAAAACTATAATTATAATAAATAATTGAATTATTTGCAAATTTATTTTATTTTTTTTAAATTATTGAATTTTTGCGAAGAAATTTATTAAAAGTTTTAAAAATAATCGAATTCCTCAGTAGAATTTTATTATTTATAAAAATTATTGAATTATGCGAATAATTTTATTGATATTTTTGAAAATAATTGAATTCCTGCTAAAAAATTTATTATTAATGAAAATTATTGAATTTTTTTTTTCGAAAAGTTTTATTTTTAATTTTTGAAAATAATAATTAAACAGTTAATAAATGAATTTTTTAAAATTTTTAATCTAAAATTATTCAAAAATTCAAGTTGATATTTGAAAATAAAAATTTTTGAATTTTTTAGTAAAATTAATCTCAAATTTATACATTATTTATTTTTCGCTAGTTTTTCAAGAATTAAATTATTTAAAATAAATTCAATTGCAAATCTGTAAAGTTCCATATTATTGTTAAAAATTGAAAGAAATTTAAAATTAAATTAAATCTTTACAATATTTTTAAAGGCTGCTGGACAACAGAATTTATAATTTTCTTATGAATTTTAGAAATTGGATATTTTTCTAGTATTTTTGATAAAATTCTCTGACTTTTCCCTGATTTCCCTGACCTGTGTCAGCTCTGTTTATTTTAATTTGCTTCTGCTCTAATTTGCTTTCATTTTAGTTTGCTTTCGTTTTAGTTTACTCTCGTCAAAGTTTACTCTCTCTTAAGTTTATTTTCGTTCTTGTTTACCCTCGACTCAGTTTACTCTCTTTTTAGTTAATAATCGTCGAATTATCATAATCGTAATATCTCCCTATTTATCGAATATATTTTCCTTACTTGAATTTCTATCAAAATTTTCATACAACTATGTAACATGATTGTACTTATTTTTTATTATTTTTTTTTTAGGCAACTATGTACAAAGGCGGTACAGTGTGACGTGGAATATCGTGTCCCTCTACAGATATCCCTTACGGATTGTGTACTTTGAATTTTTAATGAATAATTAACGCTTATTGTTTAAATTGAAATAACACTTTATATAAAAAAAAGTGTTTTCTGTACATTCTACACAATAACATCCTATGGAATTCTACATTTTCAAAAATTCATAGTTTTCTACTTGATATTTTGCCGAAAAAAATACATATTATGCAACTTCGTCACTTTTTTTTATTAATCTATAAATAATCCCTGTATAACTATCTACAATAAATGTTTGTTTATACATATTATATGTATGCGAGTATGAAACATCCTAAGCTTAAGCAAACTCTAAATTCTAATGTCAATTTTTTATTTTAATTCTAAATATCTATTGGCGTGCTTCCAGCTATATATTTATATAGATTTTTTTTTATACATATATTTGCAAAAGAATAATTATAGAAAAGTTACAAAACTATGTATTCGATATATAATTTAAATCATTAATTATCACAGAACTTGTAACTGTCTCAGAAAAATAATTTTGCCGAAAGCATTCCAATTACGAATCCTCTTTTCTTTTTATTTTTTATACAATTAAGAAAGGATAATTCCTTAGTCAAGTTAAAAGCGCTTCAAAAAATTTTTTTTTCTTCACAAAAATAAGTCAAATTATAGTGCGGTCGTTAAATATTTTCTCGAAAAAGAAATGATTTTTTAAATCATTTGAAATTTATCAAGTCAGTAAAATATAAAAATTCTCTTTTTTAAATGCTAAACATTTTGTATCTCTTTCTTTTTGTTTATTGAAATAAACAAATTTATTTGAAATATTGAAGCATTATGAATGTTGAAAGCGCTTTTACTGTGAATTTTTTTTTTCACTTGATTCGTATATCACAAGACGAATTATTTTTTTTCAATTGGTTACTAATCTCATGAGAATCATCAACAATTTACAAGAATTAACACATTGATCATTGGATCAAGGCGCACCATGATGATTATCATATAGAAAATTAACCAATTTAATATTTATGACGCATTTGTTTGCAGTTATTTACACTTTTCGATTATATAATTTACATACGTACACAAACAATGAATAACGTTTCACAAATACGCATTGAACACGCACATATTCTTTTTTTGTCAAATTGTTTTTTTTACACAGTAATAATAATTATTATTCGATAATGCAGTGCATGTAAAATATCACATCGACCTAAAAAAAGATCGTTCTTTTGTTTTTTTTTTATTTTTGATTGACGCGATTTATAAAAGCGCAAAGCTTTGTGCAATAACAAATTTTTCTCTTCACAGGCACAACTCAATAAACCGTATATAGTTTTTCACAACTATACTCAATACTATAATAACGGAATTATATTTTATTAATATATAGAAAATAATTCCAAAATTTAATTTTTGCACAATTCAATTAAAATTGAATTTAAATACTTTGAACAGTATTATAAACAACCAGGAAAACATTTATTTTCAATGAAAATCCTTCAAGCTTTCTTTAAAGTAAAAACAAATTCTTAATTTTTTAAGAATTTCCTAATTAATTAAAAAATACGAATATTATACTGATATTTTGTTTTTCGAGATTCTAGTCAAGGATTTTTACAAAAAAATCGAAATAAATCTTTTAATCCAAAGAAAAGAAAATTCTTTAAAAAGAATTCTATGGAAAAAAAAGAATTTAATTTGTTTTTTGTAATAATCAATTTTTTTTTCCTTTCATCGAAATCCTAATGACAACAGTTGAGTCGATACCTGTGAAGATAAACGGTTGTATTAGCAAATTGCGTAATTCTATATAATTTCTATTTCCGATAGTCATCTTCGTGGTTCGGAGGCGTACACGGTTATCGAATTGTTATCAGCGCAACCCGTAGCGAGAATAACGCGATGTGGATGGAATTTTAAACAATTGACGGAAACAATTCGTGTACCCATAAAGCCCTCGTGGAACTTGATTGAATTTAAATGCTGACCAGATAAGTTGTAAATATTAATGCATTGATTTGCTGCGCCACTAAAAAGGCATTTATATAAAATTTTAGTATTCTCTCGTTTTCACGAATTTAAATATGTAATAATAATAATAAAAAAAATAATAATAGTACAAAATATAAGGGAAATTTTGTTCACTTACTTGGCGAAAATGTCAGCGGCATCGTGAACAGCAAAAGTTGTAATATTTTGTGCAACTGGAATTGTCTTAATTGATGAATTTTTTCTGAGATCGAAAAATCTCACATCGCCTGACGAAGATGCTGTGACAAGTGATTGAGGAGGACCTTTACTTTTTCTGAAAAATGTCCCTAGCACCCAGGAATTATGCTCTCTCCAGGTCATGACTCTGGCTTCTGAACTCGGCAGTCGACGATCGAAGAGTCTTACGGAACCGTCACCGCAACCAATGGCCATCATTGCTCCTTTAAAAAAAAAAAAAATTCGAAAAAATTAATATACGAATACTTATAATTTATAATAATAAAATTACTGTTCAATCTATATTAATAATCGTTGTTTAATAAAATCCTTCAAAGCAATTCAATTATATTTATAAATAGTATAATTCTTTGCAAAAATTCAATTATTTTTAACACAATTTTAATAAAATTTCATGAAAGAATTTAATTTTTAAAAAAAATTTTATACATCCTTTGAAACAATTCAATTTTATTTATAAATTGTAGAATTCTTTGCAAAAATTCAATTAATTTTAAATCAATTTTTTAATAAAATTCCATGAAAGAATTAAATTTAAAAAAAAAATTTAATAATATTTTTCGAAAAAATTCAATTATTTTCAAAATTTTTAATAAATCCTTGGAAACAATTCAAATATATTTATAAATCGTAAAATTCTTTGCAAAATTCAATTATTTTTAACACAATTTTAATAAAATTTCATGAAAGAATTTAATTTTTAAAAAAAATTTTATACATCCTTTGAAACAATTCAATTTTATTTATAAATTGTAGAATTCTTTGCAAAAATTCAATTAATTTTAAATCAATTTTTTAATAAAATTCCATGAAAGAATTAAATTTAAAAAAAAAATTTAATAATATTTTTCGAAAAAATTCAATTATTTTCAAAATTTTTAATAAATCCTTGGAAACAATTCAAATATATTTATAAATCGTAAAATTCTTTGCAAAATTCAATTATTTTTAATACAACTTTTTAATAAAATTTCATGAAAGAATTAAATAATTTAAAAAAATTTTAATAATATTTTTCGAAAAAATTCAATTATTTTCAAAATTTTTAATAAATCCTTATAAACAATTCAATTATATTTAAGGGCATTTGAACCATTATGACGTCACACTTTGTGCAAAACATGTGTTTGAAAACTGTGACGTCATCATGGTTAAAATGTCCTTAAAAATCGTAAAATTCTTTGGAAAATTCAATTATTTTCACAAAAAATTTACGAAAGAATTCAATTATTTTCTAAAATTTTAATAAAATTCAATAATTAATTGTTTAATTTCAATTGTTAACAAACACGATAATTTTAGAAACTTGAAAGAAATTGTTCATAAAATTCAATTATTTTAAAAATTTTTAATTAAATTTTTAAAAAAAAAGTCAATTATTTAAAAAAAATCCAAAAATTCTTCAAAAAGAATTTAATTAAAATTTTAAAAAATTATATTACAAAATTCTTCACGAGAATTCAATTTTTTTCCTAAATAATAAAATTCTTCGAAGGAATTCTATTATTATCAAATTTTTTGATAAAATTCTTTGCAACAATTCGATGATTTTCAATACATTAATTTTAAAATTAAAAATATTTAAAAAGAAAAATTTTTTAAAAAGTTAAGAAACAAAAAGGAAACAACAACTAACTGTAAACTGCGAACAGATTACCGGAATACAACGATTATTAATATAGATATTTGAAAATTATTAAATTCCTTCGAAAAATTTTATACTGAAAATAATTGAATTCATGGAAAGAATTTTTATCAAAATTTTTAAAAATCCTAATTAAATTCTTTTGAGCTTTTTTAAATAATGGAGTTTCTTTAATAATTTTAATTGAAAATTTTTAAAGTAATTGAATTTTAAAAAGAATTTCTTTCGACTTTTTAAAATAATCGTGTCTATTAATTAAAAATATAATTAAAAATTTGATAATTGAATTTCATAAAAATTTTATTGAAAAGAATTGAATTGCCGAGAAGAATTTTATTATTTATAAAAATAATTTAATAATTTATAATAATAAAATTACTATTTAATATTATAGTAACATTTATTTATTTATTTAAAATCTAAAAATGAGAATTTTGTATTTTATTTAATTTTTCTCACCTGTGTTGTCGGTGTCTATACACGTAACGCAAGAATCTGCACCAGTTGTGATATCCTGCTTTTTCAATTCTGTATTTGCATCCCACAGTCTAACAATTTTTACTTCGCCCGTAACAGCCAAAGTTAAAGATTGTTGTTCCCAATTAGTGATAAGACCTTTCGCTGCTAAAGAGTTTACAATTAATTCAACAAACTAAAAAGAGATTTTCTTCTCCTTCAACAAATTGAATCGATTTGTAAGACAAAAATCTAGTAATAAATAAATAAATTAAAATTATAATACTTTATACTTCTTTTTAAACGTTACTTCTGTTTTTTATTATCAAACGAAAAATAATTACTTACCGTAGTTAAAACAATATTTTGATAAAAATTATGACAAACACTTTTTATAGTTAATAATAATTTTTTAAAATAATTTTTTAAATTCCAACTCATTAAGAAAAATAAGATAAAAAATCACTTTCAAGAGGAAAGAAAAGGGAAAATAATTTTTTCTCCCCTGCAATAAAGTCGGCCGGAAAAAAATGGAATTAAAATCAGAAAAAAATAAAATCTGAAATTATTTATCATCTAAATTCGATTTCGAAATACTTAATTAAATTTGACGAAAATAAAAATAAAAATAAAATAAGCATATAAAAATAAATAAAATGATTAAGAATAAATAAAATAATTAAAAATAAATAAAATAAAGTTGAATGAAAGTAAGATTTAAATTGAACAAAATAAACAGAAAAAGGAATTGTACATAAATTTTTCCGTTACCTGGAGGTCCTTTGTTGGCCAATTGTGCATCTGCCAATCCATGCCATGCAGTCAAAAGAGTTGGCTCTCGTCCCAGCATATTGTAGGTAAAATAATTCTTCCACATTCTAATCGTACCGTCATCCGAACCCGCCATCAATAAAGCAATGTCGTGTGAATTTATAAATTCCAACGCTGTTACACGTGATGTTTTGCTTCCCTTACTTGGTGGCATCGGATGATACATGTATTTCGATCCCGTATTCCAATCCCAAACTCTGTTAACAATAATTTATGGAAATTTAAAATCAAAGTTTCCATACAATCAATGTTTTGCAGCTTTTATTTCAAGACAGAAAAATATTACTCAAGTTAATAATAAAAATAATTTTAAAAAAGAAATTTACATCTTTTATTTAATAAAGAATATTAATAAGAAATATTAAAGAATATTACTTAAGATGATAATAGTAACAAAAATAATAATTAAAAAAAATTATTTACATCTCTTTTCAATAATAATAATAATGATAAAAATAATACGAACCCGACATAATCTTTGCATGCGACTGCCAGATGTGAATCAAAGGGATGAAAAACTAGAAGATCAGGTGGTTGAGGACTTCGTACGTGAAATACTTGTGACTCAAGTCTTCCGTGTGCTATTTTGGAAAATTCCTCCTTTGCATCATTCCGTTGTTTGCGATTTCGTAAATACCTGTAAAATAATTCAATTACTTTTATCATCTTTGTTCTCTTACTTATTTTATTTATTATTATATAAAATATTATAAAACATATATTATATATTCATTATAAAAATAATAAAGTTTTCAAAAATAAAGTTTATAATTTTATATCAACAAATTTAATAGCAAAACATACCGCCATTCTCGTTCTTGATGCGCTTTGCTTTCAACATCATACAGAGGATCAGTTTCACTTTCCAAATTGACAGGTTGAGCAAAGTGGGCGCAACTCCATTCCAAAAATTGAGAAGTTATCAATGGATTTTTTATCGGTGGTTCTTCGGTTTCTTCCGAAATCTAAAATTATCAAAAAGGATTAATTTTTAAATTCCAAAAGTCAACAAAACTCTAGAAGAGAAGTTAAATGAAACTTAATTTTAATTATTTTTCTCTTTTTTGTAAAAACAAAATTTTGTATTATTAAAATGTAATTGTATCTATTAAGAGGATTAAAATTTATAAACAAAAGAAATTATATTACCGTATTGGGCACTGGTTTTCTAGGTCGATTTGCATGAGGCGGAATACGTGATCGAGTGAGATCAGAATTAACATTTGGAGGTGATTCGCCTTTGCTGTTGCTAAATGAAGAAAGTTATAAAAATATAATTGTCAAAAAAATATTTAACGTCGATTAAATATTTAATTATTACTCTTATCAGTTTTAGCTACCTGAAATAATTTGTTCTATTCGACGGCGATGGAGGAAGAGATAATGAAGACGATATCTTAGCAGCTTCCATCATTTCTTTCGCATTCGATGATTCTTTCACCTAAAATTTTCCCAATTATATAAATTATAAATAACAAAAAAAAAAAAATACCTAAAAAGAATTTAATTAATTTATTTATCGATAAACTGAATTCATTTACAGACTTCGCACTAGATAATTAATTTTAAAAAAGTAGTAAAAAGTAGCTTTCAAACTAAAAAAGTAGTAAAAAAGTAGCTATCGAAAAATTAAACTTAACGACCAAAAAAACTCGATTTAGACACTTTTCAAAACTGACAAGAATTCCATTCAATATTTTATTTTCTTGACTTTTTCCTAATTTTCATTAAAAATATTTACTTCTTTCTTATCCTGCTAATAACTTGAATTTTTGCAATGAATTTTATTATTCATGAAGAAATTCAAATATTTATAAAAATAATTTAATTCTTGCGAAGAAAAAAATGGATTTTGCAATGGATTTTATTATTCATGAATAAATTCAAATATTTATAAAAATAATTTAATTCTTGCGAAGAATTTTATAAAAATTTTTAAATAATTGATTTCTTTTGACTAATTTTATGCAAATTCTAATTTAAATAATTGAATTCTTGGGAAATTTTTATTATTCATGAAAAAATTGAATTCTTGCGAAGATTTTTATAACAAATTTTTCAAATAATTGAATTCTCTTTGGAAATTTTATGAAAATAGTAGATATTGAAAATCATTGAATTGCGGAAAGTTTTTAAAAATAATTAAATTTTACAAAGAATTCTATTAAAATTATTGATAATAAATGAATGTCTGTGTGGCATTTTATTAAATTTTTGTTGAAAATAATTGAATTCCTAAAAAGCGTTTTATTAGAATGCCTAAAAATAATTAAATTTTCGGGAATAATTTTGTTATTTATCAACATAATTGAATTCTTTCGAAGAATTATTTATGTAAATAATTGAATTCTTGGAAAGAATTTTATTAAAATGTAAGAGAATAATTGAATTATTTCAAAAATAGTTAATTAAAATTGTATTTAAAATAATTGATTGCTTTCGAACAATTATATTAAAATATTTGAAAATAATTGAATTTCTGTGAAAAATTTTAATTTTTTTGTAAATAATTGAATTCTGACAAAGAATTAAAAAAAACATTTTCTCAAATAATTGATTTTTTGAGGAATTAAAATTTAATTTTTAAAAATAATTACATTTTTTTAGCAATTCCTGTAAAATTGTATTAAAAATAATTGAAATACTGGGATAAATTTTATTATTTACGAAAATAATTAAATTCCAGAGAAGAATTTTATTATTTATGAAAATAATTGAATTATTGCGAAAATTTTTATTAAAATGTTTAAAAAGAATTGAATTCCTGTGAATAATTTTGTTATTTTTGAAAATAATTGAATTCTTCATAAGAATTTTATAAACATTGTTTTAAATAATTAATCTACCTGAGCACGAATATGATTCGTGACTTTTTGTGACATGGCAGCGACAGCTGGATGAGGATCATTGTCAAGACCACACAAACCGTGCCACAATTTCATATATACACCACCGTACGCCAAACTTGGTAAACTTCCCAACGAACTATGACCTAAAACAAAAAGAATTTAATGAAAAGTAAATATTTAATAAAATTAACTACGACCAATTAAAAAAAAGAAATGTTCGTGCGCAATTAGATATTTACTTTAAAGTCCAACAGGAACAGAAAAATTACAATTTTGACAAATATAGTCTTTTCTAGAGAAAAGAATGATTGACCTTAATAATTTCCAGAGTATTAAGAAAAATTACAGAAATTACAGAAATTAAAAATATCGAAGAAAATTGTTTAATATTTAAAAATACTAAATAAGCAAAATTTTTTATACATACTTTCAAAAGAAATTTTAAATAATCGAATGAATATTATTCTTTATTCTAAAATAGAAATTAAAAAAGCAATTAACAACATGCATTTAATTGAAAATTACACATTACCGATTGATTCGCAAGGTTTCCTCACGAACTCCCAATTATTTCCTATCATGCAAGATGAAACAAGAGAATCATTTTTTCACTTTAGAAAGTGATTAAACTCTTTTTTTTCAGAAAATTAAGAAAATGCTTCTTTAAGGAAAAAATAGGAATTTGCACTTTTTGACTAACAATTAACTAATTCAATTTGCATATTTCTTTTATTTATAAATTTAGAGCTTTCAGTTTATTTTAATTAGGATCAAAGTTACGATTAGATTTAGATTTAATTTTATTTTAATCAAGATCAAAGTTGATAATAGATTTAGATTTAAGTTTCATAAATTAGAAAATTAGTTTTAGATAATTTTTCAACAATGTTTAAAGAAAGATGTTTGAAAAATAAACTTGTTCAATTTTGAAAAATTAGGAAATTCCTTACCCAGACTGCTAATTGATGATACAGAAGAGACACGTTTAATTCGATCCTGATTAAAACCATCGGGCGTATCAATAGACGCGCTATTAGGAGTAAATACACTTTTTAATCTGTCTTTTGAATTAATTCTCCTCATTCCACTGATTGGAGAGAATGTCTCAACAACGAGATCTTTTCCTCTATTGTCTTCGGCGATGGCAAGCGTGACAAATAAATTTTCAAAATGCAATACCATCCATTGTAAAGCTACGACTAATTCCTGTAATTAAAATTATTAATTGTATTAAAATTAGTAATTAGTAAGTATTAAGTAAAATTAATTAATCAATAAATTAAGGAAATTACTTCGTACCTTTCTGACTAGAGGAGACATGTCATACGTTACTGTATTAATTAGCGTCATTGCAATTATTTGGTCAATATTATTCGCATGTTCACTTCTCTTTGTTACACTGTTAATAAATGTTCCTAATGCGTAAACACTAGCTGCGCGAACCTGCAAAATTACAACAATGAAAACATTTTAACATTATTATCAATTCACTTATTAGTTTATTAAAAAAAACTAGCAAATGTAACGCGCGCTAAAGCGCGAAACGTGATACTCAATTTATTGTTATTATGTAAATAACAAAATTTTTTATTTTCTTGAATTTTTGAATCATTTTAGATTCAAACTTTAAAGAAATTCAAATATTAACTAAATTACTAATAAATAATTATTCTTGTTTATTAATTTCAAGAATTTTGATAAAATTCTTAGCAAGAATTCAATTATTTTCATAAATAATAACATTCTTCAGAAGAATTCAATTATTTTTATAAATAGAAACTTTTTTTTGCAAAAATTCAATTATTTTTAAACAAAGTTCTGATAAAATTTCACAAACGAATACAATTATTTTCTAAAGTTTTAATAAATCCTTGGAAACAATTCAATTATTTTTTTAAATAGTAAAATCTTTGCAAAAATTCCATTATTTTCAAAAAAATTTCACAAAAGAATTCAATTTTTTTCTTAATTTGTTTTAAAATCTTTGCAAAAAGTCAATTATTTTCAAGAAATGTTCACGAAAGACTTCAATTATATTCTTAATTCGTTATAAAATATTTTAAAAGAATTCAATTATTTTCTTAATTTTAATAAATCCTTCAAAACAATTCAATTTTATTTATAAATAGTAAAATTCTTTGCAAAAATTCAATTATTTGTAATACAATTTTAATAACATTTCGTGAAAGAATTCAAATTTTAAAACAATTTTAATAATATTTTTCGAAAAAATTAAATTATTTAAAAAAATTTTAATCAATCCTTCGAAACAATTCAATTATTTTTTTAAATATTAAAATCTTTGCACAAATTCTTTTATTCTCATAAATAATACCATTCTTTGGAAGAATTAAATTATTTTCATAAATAACAAAATTTGTTGCATAATTCTATTATTTTCAACTAAATTTTAATAAAATTTCACGAAAAAATTCAATTATTTTTTAATATTTTAATAAACCCTTAGAAACAATTCAATTATTTTAAATATAATTTTAATAAAATTTCTTGAAAGAATTCAATTTTTAAAAAATTTTTAATAACATTTTTCAAAAGAAATCAATTATTTTGTATAATTTTAATATAAATTCTTCGAAAAAATTCAATTATATTTATTAATAGTAAAATTCTTTGCAAAAATTCAAATATTTTTAATACAATTTTAATAAAATTTTATGAAAGAATTCAATTTTTCAAATATTTTAAATATTTTTCGAATAAATTCAATTATTTTCTAAAATTTTCATCAATCCTTCGAAACAATTCAATTATTTTTTTTAATATTAAAAAATCTTTGCTAAAATTCAATTATTATCAGTAAAATTTCAAGAAAGAATTCAATTTTTTTTAATTAGTTATAAAAAATGTCAATAGAATTCAATTATTTTCTAAAATTTTAATAATTTCTTCGAAAAAATTCAATAATATTTATAAATAGTTAAATTCTTTACAAAAATTCAAATATTTTAAATACAATTTTAATAAAATTTTATGAAACAATTCAATTTTTAATAATATTTTTCGAATAAACTCAGTAATTTTCTAAAATTTTAATAAATTTTTTGAAATTAATTAATTATATTTTAAATAGTAAAATTCTTTGCAAAAATTCAATTATTTTAAAAAAAAATTCCACGAAAGAATTAAATTTTTTTTCTTTATTCATTAAAAAAAATTTCAAAAGAATTCAATTATTTTATAAAATTTTAATAAAATTCAATAAGTAAATGTTTAATTTCAATTATTAACAAACACGATTATTTTAAAAACTTAAATGGAATTCTTCAAAAATAATTTAATTTAATTTTTCAAGAATTTTAATAAAATTCTTCGCGAGAATTCAATTACTTTCTTAAATAATAAAATTCTTGGATGGAATTCTATTAACATGAAATTTTTTGATAAAATTCTTTGCAACAATTATTTAATTTCAATTCATTAATTTAAAAATTGAAAATATTTAAAAAGAAAAGTTATTAAAAAAGTTAAGAAACAAAACAGCAAACATCAACTAATTTTTAACTGCGAACAGATTACCAGAATACAACGATTATTAATATTAGTTGTTTAATTCTAATTTTTAAAAATTTTAATAACGTAAGCGCCTGTAATATTTACTAGTTTGTAAATAAATGACAAAAGAGAAATAAGTAAACAAAATTACCTCTGGAATTGGGTCTTGAAGTAAAGTGTAAAGCTTCTCGTGTGCAATGTCTCGAACTCCGCACCATCGAGCTTTATCGTAATTATGCCACAGCCTTCCTAGACACAAAGCTAACCACTGTCTAAGTAAAGGATTCGAATCACTTAATTGTTCCAGACAAATGGAAACTAAACTCCCTTGCAAAGCAGCTTCCTGTCCTGGCATATAATTATTCACAATGCAAGTGAGTACAAAAGCAGCTAACGTTCTATGTTCACTCTGTAAAATTTAAATTATGGCAAATAAAGTAAATTTAAAATTTTGTAAATTCGATTACGAAAATTGAGAAAATATTTACAGGCACAGAGGTATCTTGAAGAACAGAAAGGAAATATTTGTGACCATTGTCACGCAACAAATCTGCTTGGCATGTCTGTAAAAAGAAAATTTGAATTTATTTTAAGAAATATAAATTATATTTATATTAAATTTGTTTTAAAAAATTTAATATTAAAATATAAATTATAAATGTAAATATATGTTTAGTATTTAAATATAAATTATGAATACATTTATAATTATAAATTTAATTTCTAGCAAAGTATTGATTGATAGTTTTGCAGAAATTTCGCCTAATGAAACTTACATTGTCAACGGCAAGTATTTTTGCCCATATAAATACAAGAAGTGGTCTCAGCTCCTTGGCATTACTCTGCAATAGTTTCAGCACATATGGAAATATGCCGACACTTAAGGCGAGATTAACAGCCCAGGGGCCAAGATCAAGAAATTTCCCTAAAAGTTCTAGAGCTCTTAGTCTATGAACTTGACTTAGTAAGACTTGCAACACTATCGGTAATTGTTCAGGTGGATTACGATGTTTTGATCCAATTGTAAGCCACACTTGAAAAGCCGTCAATTGATCCTCAAAAAATGGTGAATGAACAAATGGTTTGTTCGATTCTAAAATTCCAGGAAGCTGCGATAGACACAGATCGAGTGCCAAATCCCAAGCTAGCCACATTTGATGCTGAAAAAAGTCAATTAAAAAAAGAATATGTAAACACATTTCGTACCCCATAATTAATTTTAAAAAAGTAGCTTTAAGACTGAAAAAAATAGTAAAAAAAGCAGCTATCGAAAAATTAATTTTGACGACTCAATTTTTTTCATAATTTCTACATTGAATTACATCCAGAAATAGAATAATTTTTTAAAAATAAATATTTGAATATTTTATTATTCTACAGGAATCAAAATATTTTTAACGATTTCAATGTAACGCCTTTTTAAAATTAAACTATTTTTAAAAATCACAATTCTAATTCTTCCAAAATTCAATCATTCATGGTTGGAATTTTTAAGTAAAATTATTCAAAACATTAATTATTTTATTTCAAAACAAAAAATTAAATATTATTACAGTTTTACTACAATTAAAATTTAAAAGTCTTTAAAAAATTTAATTTTTTCTAAAAATTAACACTATATCGCCTCTTTTAAATCAATTCTGAATTTCTTATTAGAAAGTTCTACGATAATTCAATTATTTAAATACAAAAATAAATAATTTATTGAATAATTAACTGTTTCTTCAAATTGAATTCTTATAAAGAACTTTATCAAATTTTTTAAAAATAATAGACTTCTTTTGAAGAATTTTAATAAAATTTTCAAGAAGAATTGCATTTTTCGAGGAATTCATTTAAAATCGTATTAAAAATAATTGAAATTAAATTAAACTAAATAAATTGAATAATTGAATTTCTGTGAAAATTTTAATATTTATGAAAATAATAGGTAGATAAAAATAAAAAAAAATAAAATTTGATAAAAACACAATTCAATTATTTCGAGGAAAATTAAAGTTCGTACGAGGAATTTAATTAAAATTGTATTAAAAATAATTGAATTCTTCTAAAGAGTTTATCACAATTTAAAAAAAAAGTGAATTCAATCATTAAATTTCGTTAAACTTTTTAAAAATTATTAAATTCCATCAAGACATTTTATTCGAATTCTACTGAAAATAATTGAATAATTGTTCTAAGAATTTTTATAACTTATGAAAATAATTGAATTTGATTAAAAACTTTTTAAATAATTGAATTCTTTTGGGAAATTTTATTGAAATAGTAGATATTGAAAATAATTGAGTTTCGACAAATTTTTGAAAATAATTAAATTTCTACGAAGAATTTTATTAAAATTTTTAGAAAATAATTTAATTGTTACGAAGAATATCATAAAAATGTTTCAAAATAATTCAATTCTTTCAAGCAATTTAATTAAATATGTTTTGAAAATAATTATTAAATTTTAATAAACAAATTATATCCAAATTTTTTTAAATAATTGAATTCTTTGCAAGAATTTCAATAAAATTTCTAAGAATAATTGCATTTTTCTAGAAATTCATTTAAAATTGTATTAAAAATAATTGAAATCCTGCGATGAGTTTTATTATTTCTGAAAATAATTTAATTTTTGCAACGAATTTAAAAAAATTTTTTTTAAATATTTGAATTGAATTCTTTTGAATATTTTAATAAAATTTCTAAGAAAATTTTTCGAAAAATTTATTTAAAATTGTATTAAAAATAATTGAAATCCTGCGATGAGTTTTATTATTTATAAAAATAATTGAATTTTTGCAACGAATTTTATTAAAATTTTTAAAAATCTTTGTAAGTTTGAGAAGAAGTTTATTATTTATGAAAATAATTGAATTCATGAGGAGAATTTTATAAAAATCTTTTTAAATAATTGATTTTTTAAAAATTTTATGAAAATTGTTTAAAATAATTGAATTCCTGTGACAATTTTATTATTTATGAAAATAATTGAATTTTTGAGGAGAATTTTATAAAAACTTTATTAAATAATTAATTTTTTTTAAATTTTATATAAAAACTGTTTTAAAGAATTGAATTTATTTGAAAATTTTATTATTTATGAAAATATATATGAATGCTTGCAAAGAATTTTACAACAAAAATTTTGAAATAATTGAATTCTTTTAGGAATTTTTTTAATAAAATAGTAGATATAAAGAATAATTGAATTTCGAAAAATTGTTGAAAATTATTAAATCGTTTGAAAGAATTTTATTAAATTTTTTTGATTTGTTTCTAAGAACTTTATTAAAAATTTTGAGAATAATATTTTTATTCCAACAATTAAAACATTTACTCAAAAAATTTTACTAAATATTTTAATCCAAACAAAATGATATCTTCATAAATATTAATCAAAAACATCAAATAAAATATTACAAACCTGAAATGTGGGCGGTAATTTCGGGCACGAAACTGGAGTACAATCGTATGAGCGCAGAATTCTTTCGGCTAATAGAAAATTCCTAAATAAGCTAGCAACTAGTAAATCTTGTCTAAATAGTTTCTGAAACAATTCTGAAAAAAGGATATTTTTTGAAAAAATTGTTTCTCTATTTAGACTATAGAGAAGAGAAAATTTAAATTACCTCGAGGTAGAGTATTCCAAGCTATTGTATCCGTAATTGCCGTGAAAATCCAATTTAATTCACCGAGCATTGTCCTTCTGTCAGATAACTGTCCAGGAATTCTAAGTTTAAAAAAAGAATTGTTAAAATTGTTAGAACTAATGAATAGTTCATGGTATAAAGAAAATAATTAAAAACGCTTCGTAACAATTACTTACTTTTCAATAAGATCGAGAGTAATTTTAGGTATTAATTTCGCGGTACTTTGTGCTATGAACCTAGAAACAAAAAACAAAAACAATTAATATTCAAAATAATTTTCAATTTTTTTATCTCAACACAAAATTTTATTACCATCTTAGGGCAATTTTTATCGGCGTTGTAAGACAAGCCGTAAAAATATCCGCGGGTAAATCGGGATTCATTGGTAAAATCTGATTTGCAGCACACGCAGCTAATTGAATGCAATTTTTATAATTAGGCGGTGTGACATTTGGCGTAACTGCGCTACGATTTTGTTGTGCAGCTTGTTTCTCCATCTTTCGAGAATAAAAATAAAAATTTTAAACTCGGTTCTATTTTGTTAAAAATTTTGAAAATTTAAATTTAATCCGTTCTCAGAGAAGAATAGTTACGGACTAAATTTAAAATTTTATGAAAATTAAGTAACGTACCTCAAATTCTTTTTCGTGTTGTTCGGCAAATTGCAAAAATGAATCAACAATTATTCCGGCATTCGAACAATCATATACATAAATACTCGGAGCACCCATCCACGTTTGTAAATCATAAACCGAGAGTGGAATGTATTGAGTGTAGGTCTGAAATGTAAATAATTTTTATAAAACTGTAAATTTACAGTACTAATTATTTTAAACTATCGTTTACCAACCCTGTTAAAAACCCAGATTTCTCCATTTGTTGTGGGTTTTGGAACTCCATGACCATTGTAATGAAAGAGAACCCTCTCTTCTTTGGCATTTCTACGTAAAGAGGTGCATAATTTTTTCACTTCCTCTATTGTTGGATCAAGACTTTGTTTATATCTCGCACGAGGCTGCCATCGTTCGTACTGCTTTTGCAAATTCGATCCAATCATTTCCAATGCCTTCTGAGGACTCATCGAAAGTGGATCTAAAGAGTAAATTTTCAATTAACTAGCAAATGTTACACACAGAACGTCGTATTAAATTTATTATTATTATTATGCAAATTAAAAAAATTCTTAATTTTAAATGTAAATTTTTGAATAATTTCAGAATCAAAATTATAAAAATTCACTTACTAAGTACATAATTAATTATTATTGTTTACATTTTTAAAAATTTTAATAAAATTCTTCTCAAGAATTGAATTATTATTTAACATTTTAATAAATCTTTGGAAACAATTCAATTATTTTTTCAAATAGTAAAATCATTGCAAAAATTCAAATTATTTCCAATAAAATTACGGGCAGGAATTCAATTTTTTTTCTTAATTCGGTATAAAATTTTTCAAAAGTATTCAATTATTTTCTATAACTTTAAAAAATCTTTCAAACAATTCAACTATTTTTTTAATAGTAAAATTCTTCGAAAGAATTCTTTGGAAGAATTCAATCATTTTCAAAACTGAATTTTAATAAAATTTGACGAAAGAATTCAATTATTTACAAGTTTTTTTTTCAAGTTTCTTCACAATAATTTAATTATTTTTTTAAATAGTTAAATCTTTGCAAAAATTCAATTATTTTTAATGTAATTTTAATAAAATTTCTTGAAAGAATTCAATTTTTTTGTGATTTTTAATAAAAATTCTCAAAAGAATTTAATTATTTTCTATAATTTTAATAAATCCTCAAAACAATTCAATTATTCTTCTAATATTAAAATTCATCGCAAAAATTCATTTATTTTCATAAATAATATCTACCATTCTTCGAAAGAATTAAATTATTTTTATAAAAAATAAAATTTTTTGCAAAAATTCAATTATTTTCAACTAAATTTCAATAAAATTTCACGAAAGAATTCAATTATTTTCTAAAATTTTAATAAATCATTCGATACAATTCAATTATTTTTTTAAATAGTAAAATCTTTGCAAAAATTCAATTATTTTAAATATAATTTTAATAAAATTTCTTGAAAGAATTCAATTTTTTGTAGTTTCTAATACATTTTTTCAAAAGAATTCAATTACTTTTCTAATATTAAAATTCTTCTCAAGAATTCAATTATTTTTATAAATAATAAAATTTTTTGCAAAAATTCAATTTTTTTCAACTAAATTGTAATAAAATTATACGAAAGAATCCAATTAGTTTCTAAAATTTTAATAAATCCTTCAAAACAATTAAATTATTTTTTTAAATAGTAAAATCTTTGCAAAAATTCAATTTTTTTAATAGAATTTCAATAAAATTTTTCAAAAGAATTCAATTATTTTTTAAATAGTAAAATCATTGCAAAAATTCAATTATTTTTGCAATAAAATTACAGGCAAAAATTCAATTTTATTTCTTAATTCGTTACAAAATTTTTCAAAAAAATTCAAATATTTTCTACAATTTGAATAAATCCTTAAAACAATTCAATTATTTTTTTATTAGTAAAATTCTTTGTTTAATTCAATTACTTTCAATTATTCAATAAACTATGTTGTTTTCAAAAAATGAACTTAATGGAATTCATCAAAAAAATTAAATTTCCTACGAAAACTCTAATAAAATTGATTAAAAGAGTTTCCAAAAATTGTAATAAAATTCAATAATTAAATGTTTAATTTCAATTATTAAGAAAATTATTTTAAACACAATTATTTTAAAAATTTGAAAGAAATTGTTCATATAAGATTCAAAATTTTCGATTAAAATTATTAAAGAAACTCCATTATTTAAAAAAAATTAATTAATAACATTAAAAGTGTATATAAATAAATAGAAAAAAGAATATTCTATTTATTTTCTTCAAAAGAAATTAAGATTTTCAAAAATTATACTAAAATTCTTTTCTAGAATTCAATTATTTTCATGAATAATAAAATTCTTCGAAGGAATTCAATGATTTTCAATACCTAGGTACCTAAATTAATTTATTTTAAGGGCATTTGAACCTTGATGACGTTACACTTTGTGCAAAGCATGTGTGACGTCGTCAAGGTTCAAATGCCCTTAAAATTGAAAATATTTAAAAAGAAAAATTATAAAAAAAGTTGGAAACAAAAAAGCAAACAATAACTAACTTCAAACTGCGAACAAATTACCGGAATACAACGATTATTATATTAATATAGATTTCCCATCTTTATAAAACTGAGATTATGAAATTATTCTTAAGAAGAAAATGAGAACTATTAATAACAAATGTTAAATACAATTAAAAGTATATATACAAAAAAAATAAGAATAAAAAACAGGGTGCGCTGAAGTAGCTTAACCTAAAAAACTTATTACATAATGATGACAATGAAAACCATGTAAATAAAGAAAAATGCTAACCGATCCAGCATTCGAGACGAGCGCAGGGTTGTGTCTTGACAATATCCGGAGGGTCGACGCCCACATTTAAACAAAGCACCAGGGCGACGCTTACAGTTTTCATCTGCAAAAGGTGTAAAAAGATGATAGCCAGGATATACAGGGTCACACTCACACACACATTTATCGATTAAAATTACATTTTCCCATTGCAATTTTTATCATTAAAATTACATCACTCACCCTTTCTTTCATTCTCCATCCTTGGGGCATGGAATTACTCCCCTCAATTGATACAGTGTGCCTCAATTTATTGAATGCCAGGGGAATTTTCCAATCATTAACCCTGGCATGCCTTGATTCATCGTCTTCGCGGCATGGCTTCGACACTACCAAAGACATTGTGCGCAAATAATTGTCTATCTCAATAATGTTTTAATAATCGCGCACTTGTCAACACTGAGATCTCATCTTGTCATTGAGATTGACTCACACTTTTCTTTTATTACAATTAAAATACCACGCGGCACAATTCCGCTTAAAAAATTTCCGGGTACTTAAAAACCAAATCAGTTTATACTGTACATTTTACTCACCGCAAGAGAAAAAAACTCAAGATAGGAATTTACTAGTGTCGTCGCACACTGTTGCGTCTATCCCACTTCTTTATCGAAAAATGCCCTTTCTTACCGGCCTATAAAGACCTTGTGACCTAACCTCAAAATTTTCTGAAGTGACAACCGACGTCCCCTAACGGGAAGGTCAAAAGTATTTCGAATTTAAAATTCTCTGGATCCTCTGGATATTTTAATCAGACAAAGAATCAAAACAGTACTTAGTCCAGTCATAATTTCGTATTTTACAAAATAATGAAAAGGATAAATTAAATATTGAATTCGAAAGTGTAAAGAGAATTTAGGTAACATAACCTAAAATTGCCAAAATTGTAATTTTTATTCAACTGCAACATTTAATTATGTTTAAATTGTTGAAAATTAAATTAAAAGCAAGCAATTATCATTCAAAAGTGAATTATTAGAAGAAAGAGGAAGAAAAGTCAATTATTTGAAGAAAAGTGAATTATTTATCTGCAAACAACTTCCAATGGGATTTATTGCACTGGATTCATTTAAAAAGGTAAGAAAAAGAAGATTATTTGTAAATTTTTATAGCTTAACATATATTATATACATAATCTATACACATACATATAAATTAATTTATTATTAATTAATCCTGTGCTCAAGTCATAGTCGCTTGGAGCATAAATTTCATTCAACATGCAAAATTCTATAAAAAGTAATATAATAAAGTGTATTTATTGAAATGTGCAATTATCCTCGTGTCTATAGTTAAAATAAGTTATTCTTATAAAATTCCATCGATTCTGATTTCCTTTAAACAAATAATTTCAATTTTCCCTAAAGATTATAGTTTCATTTTGACTATTTTTTTTTGATCGAAACAAATAATTGTTCTCTTTAAATAAAAAGAAATTAAAATAAATAATTTAGGTACGATTTCTATATATAATAGTTTCGAAAAAAGAAAATCGCTACAATTTTTGAATATTTATCTCGCGCACAATATTTATCCACATAATAAACATTCTCTTGTGTTCCATTTTCACAGCCTATGTATAAGTTTTCTTTATATACAATTCATTCTCATACTCAGATTTTTTTTTTAATAATGTTAATAATTAATCAGTAGATTAAGTTTCTACCGCTGCTATTAAGTTCTATAAATACTGAGTCCAGAATTAATTTTTCACTCGAGAGTTCTTTTTTTTCTTATATAAAAAAATGGGCGAATCGTCAATTAAATGCCACTAGTCGGCTTTAATTTTCATTCACAATTCATTGCGATGGCATTGTGTATTTTTTAATTGATTCGTATTTATCTTCCAAAATTATAAGATCAATCTTTGCTTTAGAAATTTACGATTCTGTTAGTATTTTCACTGTAGAATTTGAGAATCGTGAAGTGGTTTGTAACCCTGAAAAAGAGAAAAATTTATTAGTATCAGTATTTTTGTTCGTTTGCTAGAACATTTAAAGTAACGAGGACAATCGATTAAAAAAAAGAAAGTACCCAATTTTGAAAAGAAAATTATTTTTCGACTATTTAGAATAAGTAGATTAATTAATATTAATACTTGTCAATTAATTAATTAATATTAATAATGGTTAATTAATTAATTACAATTAATTTAGAATTTAAAAAGTAATAATTAATTTAGAAAGTACTAATTAATTCAGAATTCTTATAAAATTAGTAGCAAATTAGTTTAAGCAAATGTAACTATTAAAAATTCCCTGTTATTGTAAATGCAGAATTTTCAGAAACGAAACAAAATGAATAATTAATTATTAGTTAATTGCCACCACCTTAGAACGTTCACAAAAAAAAGAAATGAAACAAAATGCGTTACTGCTTGCATTTGTCAAATATTACATAAGAAACTTTATGCTTAGTTAAATTGTCAGTCAGTAGTTCATGCTTCCGTATTTGGGTTTGCGTAAACTTATCCTCTTAATTCCGGGCCTTACAGCGTTATTGAATGAATCCCGCAATCTCTCTCTAAATGTTTTATATTCCATATCCGGATTGCTCTTTCCAAAATCAAAATCAGCAACTTCAACGGTAAATCTCGCTCTATTTTGTATATAATAGGCGATACCGAAAATTATCGACACAATGGCAACTAATGAACATGCCACTGGTACGACAATTACTGAAAGTTGAGGTTGCACAGTAGCTGAAAGAATAATGACAAAAAGATTTATCGTTAATTAAAATTATTCATAATTAATTAAATTACATTTGAAAAAAGGATTTATCGTTTTGATAACAAAATAATTCTATTATTATGAACAAAAAAAAGAAAATTTTTGGAGTAAACTATAGTCAGGTTTGCCACAAAAAATTTGATTTCGTTTTTCCCTGACTTTTCAATTTTTAATCGAATATTTGTGCAACTGTTAACAATTTCAGAATTTTTCAATTATTTGTTTATAAAAATCCAATAATTTATAAAAAATATAGGACTGAAATATTTTAAAAACTCATTAGTTTAGAATTTTAAATAACATGTTTCGAAACTTTAATTCTTAGAAAAAATTAGGTATAAATTTCAATGTTTTTAAAATTCACTCATTAACAAGAATTTAAATTGTAATTCTATTAAAATTAAATTATTGTAGATGCAATCTAATTAATTAAATTTAAATTATTGAAAATTCGATTTTCTCTGTAAAATTTTTGACTCTTTGTAAAATTCAAGTATTTATCAATTTTATTAAATTAAAACTCGTTGAAAATTCGATTATTCTTAAAATCTCGAATGAAATTCTTTAAAAAATTAAATTATTTTCAATTCAATTTCACAAAATTTCAATTACATAATTTGATAATTCTTTAATAAATTCTTTTCTTTTTGGAATTTAAGTATCTTTTAAAATTTGAATTAAAATTTATCGTGAACCTCATTTTTTCCAAACTTTCAATAACATTGTTTGAAACTTAAAGAATGTTTAAAATAAATATTTAATTATTATTAATCTCTTCAGAGGGGAATTGAAATTTTCAAAAATATTAGTTTAAAACCTTCTGAAATTCAATTATTTTGAAAAATTTTTACTGTTTTAAACTAAAATCTTTTCTAAATCATTCTAATAATCGTTGTATAATAATTGTAATTAATAATTTTATTATTGAATTTTATTAAAATTATTGATCGAAAATTAAATTCTTTTAAACACAATTTTATTAGTTTTTGTAAATAATTAAATTCTTCTGAAGAATTTCTTTAAGTTTTTTTAAAAATACTGCAGTATTTTAATAATTTTAATTGATAATTTTGAAAATAATTGAATTTCACGAAAAATTTCATTCAAGTTTTTAAATAAATCGCGTTTGTTAAGGATTATGATTAAAAGTTTAATTATTGAATTTTGTTAAAATTATCTGGAAATAATTAAAATCTTTTGAAGAATTTTATTATTCAAGAAAATAATTGAATTCCTGAGAAGAGTTTTATTATAATTTTGAAAAATAATTAAATTCTTTCGAAAAATATTAAGAAAAATTTTCAAAAATAACTATTGAATTCCTTCCTGAAATTTGATTAAAATTATATTCCTGAGAAGAATTTTATCAAAATTTTTAATTAAATTTCTTTGAGGAAAAAAATTTTAGAATTTATTTAATTATTAAAATTAAATATAATACTTTACAGAAATAAGAAAAATCAAAGTATTACTATAAAAATTCATTGTGAAAATGAAAAGTTTTTAAGATGAAAAAAGCATTCAACAAGAATTTGAGATGTTTAAGTTTTTGAAAAATACTTTTAGACACGAAAATACAAAATTTTTGCAGTAATTTTGGAATTTGATATTTTTTTCAGTACTTTTGATAAAATTGCTTAACAAATGTTAAATTCCTGAACAATTTTCTTCTTTCTGATCTGTCGCAACTCTGTTTAAACAAAATTGGAATAAAATTAAAAATTAATTTTGATACTGACCACTGTAAATATTTATGGTGAGAGGATATATTTGAGTACTGACGTCATTTTTAATAATCATCACTATCGTTGAGACGCTGGGTTCGAGAAAATAGTGAATTATAGAAAAATTACAGGAAGGAAGAATGTCAGTTTGATAGCAAGTCTCATTTCCCGTTATGTTGTACTTGCCGCGATGAAATGCAAGGCACTTGTAGAAGGGACCTGAACCTGTACAAGAGACATTGAGGGATAACATTTCCCAAGGTTGAATCCAATTTGTACCCTCGACAACTATTTTATTTATCGGAGCTGAAAAATAATTATTAGAATTTAAAAATCAATATTTTCATTTCATTTAAATATATAAAAATTTATTTTCAAACCAGTAGATTTTAAATCCAGTGAATTTTAAAACTATCTCTCTAAATCTTAAACAGTCAAAAATAACTAATTATCAGTAAAATCGTAGCTGACATTTTGCTTCAGTAATTATTAAAATAAAAATAACCAATTATTAGTGTTTTTAACTAATTTAAATTTAGAGAGTAGATTTTAAATCCCAGTGATTTTACGGGAAACGAACCTTTAACTGTGATTTCTTTATTAAAATATCCGTAAGTCTTCTTTGGATCCGGAGGAATAATCGATGAGTTCAGGCAAACGAATGGAAATGAAATATTCGCGAATTGATATTGTGTAGCATTTGGAGCGATCGTCGACGTATTTGGTGAAATTGTCGTCGTCGTCATCATTGTAGTCGTTGTGACAGGTTTCGGTGTCGTTAAATCCGAAATCGGTTTAGTACTATTACTAGGAACAGTCGTATTCGAAGGCGTTGGAACCGTTGTCGTCGACGTGGTCGTTATCGGAGCGGGCGTAGTTGGCGGTTCAAATGAAGCAACAATTAAAGCTTCAATATTATGAGTAGTATTGACTTTTGTGAAATTTGTCTTAAAACTGAAGTCAACTGTCTGACCAAAATATTTGCAGTCCACAAACCAGAATGTAGATATCGATGTTGCTTTTTTCTTCAAAAATTCTAAATCACCGTCACGTATGTCAATTTTGACATTTGCTTCAGCTTCCGATGAAACATAAATGCCTTCGGTGGTTTTGTTTGATTGCACAATTGATAAATTGCCATTGAGAAGTTCTGAAAATTTTATTTTGTATTAAAAAGTTGTCAATATTTTCATTCAGGGTTGCCACGCTTTTGCTCATTTCAAATTCCCTGACTTTTCCAAGTTTAAAAAAAAACGGAATTTTTCCAGTTTTTTTAAAACTACATTTATATTTTACAAAATTAAATAATTCCAATAAATTTTTACAAATGCCACAAAAATTTAATTTTGTTTTTCCCTGACTTTCCCTTGATTTCAAGACAAAATTCTTACTTTTCCTTGACTCTAAAGAATGTTCTGATTCAGTTTAAAAATTATTATTCAGAAAAATATTCTATAAATACTTCTTTTTCAAATAAATATTTAATTATTATTTTTCCATAGGAATTAAAATTCTTCAAAAGATTCAAATTCAAACCTTTTTGAAATTAAACTTATAAAAAATTGTTATAAAACATGAAGATATCGATTGCTCCGAGTCTTCGACTCGGAGTGATCGATATCTTCATGTTTTATAATAATTAAAGATGAACGACTGATAAAATCATTATTTTGTATTATATAAAAGAATATTGTTATTGTAACTTCATAAAAATTACTTTCATCCTTTTAATTCAATTATTTTCTACATATTTAAACTAAAATTCTTCTTTAAATCAATTATTTAACCTTTTAAAAATTCAATTACTTATCAAAATCCACGCTATAATTTTTCCCGATTTTTTTTCTCATCAAATTTAAATTTATTTGATTTCGACCATAAATAAATCTACAAATGGCTTCCAAAATTTTTATTAGAGTTTTTATGAATAATTAAATTCTTTTGACGAGTTTCTTTAAATTTTTTAAAAATAATGTTATTTTTAATAATTTTAATTAAAAATTTGGAAAATAATCGAATTAAACAAAGAATTTATTCAATTTTTTAAAATAATCTTGTCTGTTCATAATTATAATTGAAAAATTTATTAATTCAATTTTATTAAAATGTATTGATACAAATTGAATTTCTGCAAAGAATTTTACTATTTTTAAAAGTAATTGAATCCTTCCAAAGAATGTTATTATTTATGAAAATAATTAAATGTTTGCGTAGAATTTTATTAAAATTTTTTCAAATAATTGAATTTTAAAATTTTAAACATAATTGAATTTCTGCGAAGAATTTTATTACTTTTGAAAATAATTTAATTGTTTTTTAGAATTTTATGGAAATTTATGAAAATAATTGAATTTTTGTGAAGAATTTTTTTTTAAATAATATTCAAAAGAATTCAGTAAATTTGAAGAACTTTGCTATTTATGGAAATAATTGAATTCTTGAGAAGAATTTTTTTTTAAAGTTTCTAGAAATAATTGAATTATTTCGACGAATTTTAATTAAATTTTTACGAATAATTCCATTTTTCGAGGAATTTTTTACTATCAAATTAATTATTTTTAACTAACTCAAATTTGGAGAACAGTATAAATATCTATAAAAATTTAAATAAAAAGTGATTTTTCACAAACAAATTAAAATAATAATTTGTAATTAAATAATAATTTGTAATTTGTAAAACTGGAAATTAAAAAAATTCCTGGCTTATTTTCGGTTTTTCCCGGTCAAATTAAATTCCCTGCTTTTGACGAATTTTAATAAAATTTTTAAGAATAATTTCATTTTTCGAGAAATTAGATTAAAATTGTTTTAAAAATAATTGAATCTCTGTAAAAAATTTGATTGAATTGAGAAAAGTTTTTGAAAATAATTGAAATTTTGACAAGAATTTTATTAAAATTTTTGAAAATAACTGAATTTCTGCGACAAATTTTATTACTTTTGAAAATAATTGAATTCTTGAAACGAATTTTAATAATATTTCTTTTTAAATAATTGAATTATTTTGTAAAATTTTATTAAAATAGTAGATATTGAAAATAATTGAATTTTAATAAATTATTGAAATTAATTAAATTTCTGAGAAGAATTTTATTAAAATTATTTTGAAAAAAAATTGAATTGTTAAAAAAAATTTCATTAAAATTTTTGAAAATAATTTAATTCTTTCAAGAAATTTAATTAAAAATGTATTGACCATAATATTTAAATTCTGATAAATAAAATCTAGGAAAGATTCTTTAAAATAATTGAATTTCTTTTATGAATTTAAATAAAAATTTTAAGAATAATTACATTTTTCGAGAAATTCCATTAAAATTGTATAAAAAATCATTGAAATTCTGCGATGAATTTTATTATTTATGAAAATAATTAAATTTCTGTAAAAAATTCATTTCTAGGTTTTCCAGGTTTCGTGGCAATCCTGTCTTTGTAAATATTTTCTTTTGTATATATTTTAAACATTTTCTATGTAAATATTTTCTTTTTTATAAATAATCGATAAAGCTTACGTGATACTTCAAATTCAATGCGACGACTTGTTATTGGTTGATACCAAACATATGGAATAATTTCTTTCGACACTAGGACCTCCATTTCGTAAATACCGATAACGTAGCCTTCTGATTCCGGATAACTTACTGTATAGTATATTGTTGTGTTTTTCGTTGGTTCCGTCTGAAAATAATAATTTAAAAAACCAAATGTAATTAAAAATTTGAAAGAAGGAAAAAATTTATCGAAAATTGTAAAAATACCGTATATTGATGTCTATTATATAGAGCATTGTCTGACCACTGATAACGATATTTTGAATGTGGTTTTGAGCCATCTTTATTATAAATATCGGCTCTAAATGTTATAGACCCTCCTAAAACAACTGGCCCATTACCAGAAAGTTGGACGATTTCACCATACGTAAAAACTAAAAAAAGAAAACAATTTAAACTTCATTATAGTTATTAAAAAAGTATTAAAAATATTGAAAAAAATTATTAAAAAGTAGGGTAGATTTGAAAATCATTAATCCTAATTTAACTTTAAGCCAAAGAGAGGAATTAAATAAAAAAAAAAAAATAAAATACCAACGTTACTTAAACGTGATTAAAAAAAAAAAATCAGTGAAATATGATGAATCGAAAAAGAATTCTGTTCCAGATAAAAATTTGCATATTCAGAAAAATAAAATTTGCACTAACAAAAAAATAGAACGTACATGCAAATTGTTGTAAAATTACAACAAAGAGAAATAATTATATAAAACAAAAACAATTGTTGACATTGCGATATTGAGGGGGCAAAAAAACAAACATACGAAATTGAAAATTAATGAAATCTTACCTTGAAAAGAACTAATAATCCCTATAATAATAAAATAGTATGCAGACACCATTTTCATGATAACATTTATCGTGGAATTTTGTTAAATTACGTTTTACAATTTCAAGTGTCCACACCTCCTTTAAATCACCATTTACACATTTACACTGTTCTTATATTTTGACGCATACATTTGTATTTCCTTCTGAATCATGACAATCAGGAAGTCATCTTTTATTTAATTTCAATTACATTAATAAGTCGAAATTTAAAAATCATTTAAACATTTTATTTTTTTTTACACTCGCACATATATAGCAAAATTTCATTGAATGATAATCATTCACATAAAGATTCGTGGAAATTCGTAATAATTCGTTCATCATCGGCGATTTCGGCTTTAAGGCGCAGTTTAAAGGTGTGTTCATATGCACTAAGACTCAATCATGTAAATGGGTCTTAATAGTCACGTGACATAATTCGTATTTTAAGTTTCCAACTGTCAACAACTTTCTCTGGTATTTCAAATTTTCAGACTTTTAGTTTAATTTTTTTAATAGTTTAGTGAGATTTATTGTAAAAATGGTTGATTGTTTAATGTTTGGATTTTAAGTTACTGCACGAAGGTTTATTATTAAAGTGAAGACGATTATTTATAAACGAATTGTAAGTAAAATGTATTGTCTATTTTGTTTTGAAAATCAGTCATCTGTCTAAAAAATATATGAGGAAATGTATCAATTTTGTTTGTTGATAATAAGTTTTACGATTATTGATATCAAAGTTCAAAACTATATTTTGTTATTATTAATAATCTTTAACGTCCTTTGATAGTAGAAAATAATTGAAAATGTCTGAATATGTGAATCATATCACAATCACAAAAGATAAAAATAATGGCGAGTAAAAGGCTTAAAAGAAAATATTCCCAAATTTAATATTTTAATTAACTGAGTTTGCTATATTTTTTTAAAAAAAACATTAATTCGATACATAATTGAGAAATTCCGGTATATATTTATAGCTATTTTAAAATTGTTTCCAACTATAAAATTAGTTTTTTCTTTTTTTACAATTTTATAACCTCAAATATTTTACCTTTTACGTTGTTTTGAAGACTGAAAAGATAATTATTTGAATAATCGATAAATTTTTATAAAAATACCAAGCTATAAAATTACATTTTCTATTTTCGGAAAATGTAAACTAGTTGAAGTACGTTAATTGAGGAAAAAGAGATAAATATGTTTAGAGGGGGAATTAAAGATATCGTATTTATAGTAAAACATCTGTTCATGTACATTTTTTATTGATAATATGAAAATCATTCAAATTCGTCGTTTTCTTTTAATTTTTGAAATGAACGAAATGCAGATAGCGCAACAAACATTTTTTCTTCTTGTTTCTCCTCTATAGTTAATAATATATAGCTCTTATCTGTTTTTGACATATTTGTCAATTTTTTCTTTCTTTAACTAAATAATTATATGATCAGCTTTGTTTTTCTTTCTTACATTCATACACGTTCTCTCATTTTTACTCTCTTTTTTTCTTTATATATATAAAAAGGTAAGAAACGAAATTCGAATAATGAGCTTACAAGGCTGTCTCTCCTAGAATGCATATTCTAATGATAGGAAAAAGAAGAAATATTTAGAATTTTTATGAAGCAGTCTCAATGTTCAAATCGAATATGTATCTCTATTATTTTTTTCGGTTATCGTGGGAAAAATTTTATTAATTAGTAATTTATTAGAGTCAGCCTTATAAGGCTTTTTTTAAAACGCATTAATTCGTGCAAGGAACATTTCAAAGATTTATCATATTTTCTTTAGCTACCATATGAGAATTTATCGATACTGCATTTTTTTTGGCTCATAATAATTTTTTCTCTAATTTTATTCAAGCGATTTTATTTCAAGAAAAATTAAAAATTACAGTATACTATGCTGACTTTTATTACGGGCAGTCGTCAGCAATCACTTGGCCGGTTAGGGTAACATTTTTTTTTTTTTATTTATTTTTTGGGCACTTTGATTGAGAAAAATTCGAATAAAACTTTATAGAAATTTTCTATTTTTTATATATAATAAAAACTTCTAAAAGAATTTCACTACAAAATTTTTGAAGAAGGAAATGAAACAATCGAAAATTTTTTTTCCAAGAAAGAAAAGTTTCTTTCAAATAAAGAATAGAAAAAACAATTAAAAAGGAGACGCAAGGGCATATAAAAATAGGAATGTGACCCTGATCTGTGGTACACGATTTAAGTCTCCAGAAAATCTATTTATTTAATTTCGATTTCCTCTTTTTTAAAAATCTTTTATTCATATTTATTTTCAAAGGATTCCGCAAAATGACTATTTTTATTCTCTCTAAACTCTGAGAAAAATTTTCTTCTCATTCATAAAATAGTGCAATTTCAATGCCAAAAACAACGAAGTAATTATCTTTACCAATTTTCAATTTCATTTCATAGTAAAACAATTACTAATTGACTTTTTTTTTGGCAAATTAACACTAATTTATCAATAAAATATCATTAATTCAGGTTTAAAGATTTGTGTAAACAATATTTCGCATCCACTGGCGTTATTAAAGTTTGTCAATAAATTTTATTCGAAAAAATTTTTTGAACAAAAGTCTTACATATTAATATTACGTTTTACAATTTTGTTAATCAGTTTTGAAAAAAATTTTTATAAACTTAATCACGATACATTTTTTTTTTGATTAATTAGAAAATTCCACTTAATATAAGTTAAAATTCATAAAATAGTTTTTTTTTTTTTTTGACATTATTGAAATTTAAAAAATTTGTTAATTAAGGCCTAAATATAAAGTGGATTAAAATTGATATTTTCATTTAAAGTGTTTTACAAAAATAATCTTGAATAGACGCCAGTTAATGTGAGACTCAATTACTGTCATCATTTATCTTGAATCCCCACTGACATTTTACAATCATTAACTAATATTATTTTAATTCATATTATATAATAACAATGGGCTCGTTTTTGCAGAGCTGGGCAAAAAGTACATAAATTACATTTCCTCTTTTTTTAATCAAATCACAGTACAGGATTTAATGTAAGTTGTAATTGAATTTAAATTCGAATAAGCTTTTTTTAAAAATAATAAATTTGCAATTAATTTCTTTTAGTTATTGTATACATATATATATATAATTATTTCTATTTATACATTTCCCCCCCTCCCCGTATTTAAAAAACTTTTTTTTTCGTAAAAAGACAGATTATAACAAAGAGGACAATATTTCTAGTATTATTTAGTATTACAACTATACATTTTTATAATTTTTGCAATTTATAAAAAATTCCATTCAATTACAAAACACATGAAATGTGATTTGAAATTGAAAATTTTTAAATCACATTTTTTGTTTATTACCCAGCTCTGATTTCTTGCCATTTCTTTTATATTTTACAAGTAGATTTTCAGCTTATTCGAACGATATATTAACTTCTTGTCTGCCTTTTTTTTCTAAAATATTGTAAACGAGTGAAGTTTTACTGCCATTTTAATAAGAATTGTTCCCGTTACTTTTTAATTACAGAACACTTCGCAAAACAATTTTTCATTTCATTATTAAATCATTGCCAAACTTGAAACAAATAACAGCCATCGGTGTTTTAGTGTCCATTGTCGTTCTTTCTTTTCTTTTTTTTTTTTTGTTTTTTTTTTGTATTTTACGTAAAATAAGAATCTCGTCGCTCTTATGACTACTATTCTGCAAATAAATGGCGTTTTGTACCAAAATTTAGTACCGTTTGCACTTATCTAATTAATCTCAGTTCCAATAACGTCATTTTATTCGAAATTAATAGTTCTTTAATTCTTAAAAACAATCTATACACTGTTAAACAACGACTTAAAACAAACGAAAGACTTCGTCAGAAAAAAGATGAAGCTTGCTGTAGATTTGCTTTTAATGACAATAAAATAAGAAACAGTACAATAATAATAATAATAATAATTAATAATAATAATAATAATAATAATAATAATAATAATAATAATAATAATATTAATCATTTCCAAGTTGATAAATTATCGTGTAACACTAATTGTGTGTTTACTCGAAACTTTTGTCGGTACCTCTCCCTCATTTTTTTTTCATTATCCACCAATTTCATGATAACTAATTAATAATACAATAATAATAATAATTCACTTGAAGTGATTTCTTTTTTTTTCTTTTCAAGGTGCATTTCTCATTCATCTCCTCTACAGAACAAAAATATCCCCCTCACATTTGACGAAAAAACTTTGTTGCTAGTTTATCGTTAACCGTTTGTCGCGATATCTTAACATCTTTGAAATCGAGTGTCCTTTGTTTTTTTAAGAGAAAAAATAAAAAAAAAAAACATGAACAATAATCAGCGACTGATTTCTCTTCGTCGTAATCAAAAATGGCTTGCATTTAGATTGTTATATAGCTTTTTTTTCTTCGTATATATATATCTATACATATATAATTCCCTTATATCTCTCTGTTTATTTTTATTTATTTATTTATTTTTTTTCGAAAAAACGTCTCATGTATAAACCGGTGTGTAATCGTGTATGGAAGTGCAAACGCGCGCATAAGTGTGTACATGTGTTCATGAGGTTTCTTTGAAATAGTTGCCCAATATAACACACGTATTTTCATTCATTTTTTTTTTATTTTAATTTGAATAATTACGCGTAATGTAAAGTTCGGCATGCTGTCGTTGCTTTTTTTCTTCTTCTTCTTTTTCTTCTTCACATAATTATGAAATCCAATTTTTTTTTTGATCAGCAGTCGACTTTGAGCAAACTTATTCGACCACTTTCAGCACCTTGCCAATGGCAATCGTTTTATCTATGAAAGGATGGTAAAAGATTATAGAATTTCTTTAATTTTGGGGTGTAAAGTACAATTTGACTTCAGCCAATCAAGTTATGGGAAATATTCATCGAAGTAGTTTTTAATTATTCTCAATTACTTTTGAAATATGTTTGAAAATTTTGAATTAATTTGGAAACATATTCCAAAATTTTGAATTGTTTTTTGAAAATTTTGAATCGTTTTTGAAATATATTGGAAAATTTTGAATTATTTTTGCAGGGTTGCCACATGTCAGTAAAGTCAGGGAAATGTCGGGAAAAAAAATTGTTGTCAGGGAAATTAAGAAAATTGAGACTTTTTTCGACTTATTTTAAAAAATTGCGACTTTTTCTTCAAACATTGCAACAAAATACCACAATTTTTAGTTAAAAAAGTGCAACTTATTTTGATTTTTATAATGCGAAAAATAACTGTAAACAAATCTTTCAAAAATTGTTTTTCAATCATTTTTCAACATAATTAAATTTT